CAAAAACTAAAGTCTCAAACCCAAAGAGATATTCTTTATAAAAGTTAAGACTCGTCAACGCCCTCCTAAAATGCCTCGATTAAACACGCCACCAACATGTCTACGTCACTGTGTAGGAAGATTTGCATAACACCGCCCAAATGTTCACACAAAGAAAGAAGGTGTAACTATTATTCTCGCTGTAATTATTCTCGCTGTATTGTTGTTGTTGCCGCCGCCACCGCCATTTCGTGGAGACTCTGTGTGTTTCGTTGTGAAAGCGAAACTACTTTGTTTGGCCTTCCAAAAGAGGACGATATCCGCTTATTTTTAGCAACGTCATATGACCCCTTAAAGAATTGATATTTTTTTATTATCAAATGAGAATCGATTAAAATCGAGAAAACAATATTTTTACTCAGCCCTAATTGTCAGCATATGTAATTGTAACATTTGCTAATATTTTTATTCAAAACCACAATTTCTCGGTTTAAAAAATTAAAGCATTCCATTCAAATTAGTCAATAACATCTGAAAAATCGCCCAGCTCTAGCTAAATCTCTTTAAAACATCAAAAAGGATGCAAAAGCGTCATAAAAGTGGTCCATACAATGTGTGCACTATATTCCAAATCTTCTGAAGCTATATGATAACTTTGTGAGGAACGGACAAAATTTAAGTCATTATTCACTGAAAATCTTGATCTTCACCCTTGGTCTCATTCAAGAGACTTCATTATAGAAGAAGCAATGTCCGATTCATGAAAAAGTGATTATTTTGAGTCAGATTATATTCAATTTATGAAGGTGCTGTAAACTGAATCATTATATATTCTATTAAATTTCTACAATACTATGGTATTTTGTATGTGACTTAGCTAATTTTATTGTAAACGGAAAAAAAAAAAGATTTCATTCAAAAAATTTACCATCAATACAGATGCTGCATTTATTGCTTCTACAGTAATTTCTCACTGATACACCCCCAACTCAGAAACTCTGGGCTTAAAAAAAGTTCCTCAATTTGCAATTACATCTTTGTGGTGCCGTTCACGTGAGTTCAACTTGTAAATATGACCTTTCTGAAATGACTTGATTGCACCATGGTTTGATTCTCCAAGTCAATTTCTTGTGTTGGAGCTCTAGATTATCAGTGTATTTCGACTTAAATTACTATCTCTTCATCAAGCAAATCTATTTTATGACTTCAGGATACTCAAATATTGCACAAGAGTCATTGACAATTTTCAACTTCAACAATGTTCAATTATAAGAGCGAACAGTTCTCAAAACAAATCCTCTTTTCTTTTTGTGCTCTGAGAAAGAAAGTCATACAGGCTTTGAATGACACGAGGACAGATTTTCCTTTTTTCCCCCTTAAAAGCTGTCCTCACCCACAAGACATTCATATCCAGTGCGTGTTGACAGCTGAAGAAACTCTGCAAACGGAGTACGCCTTAAACACACACAGATATCCACTGAGGAATCCTCATTCTCAAACATCAGTCAGGGGCCACGACCACATAATGCATCAGATTCTCAGTTCTTCTGCAGAGACCCCGACAGAGGACATGATTTATTGGCTAAGTATATGATTAAGTCTTTATCCAAGCACGCCACAACCAATTAAGCAGCTTGCAGCATTCCCAAAAAGTTTTCTCTACAAAATCACAACCCTTAACCAACCACAAGACTCTAATCCTAAAGGTGAAATATGTATAATTTCTGCACTACTAGCATTAAAGGGGTCATATGATGCTGCTAAAAAGAACATTATTTTGTGTATTTGGTGTAATGAAATGTGTTTATGCGGTTTAAATAACAACCACTGGTGTACAAATAATTGGTCCCGCCCACAAACTCACACCATTGGTCAAGTTAATGCTGACTGTCAATGTCAGATTAGTCAGGATGCTCCACAGTGTTTTAGAAAAAAAAACAAAAAAACCTTACCTACGGTTGTCACATTAAGCTTGGATAGAAGCATTTCAACATTCAAATAAGTAAGGTCCAAAATGTGAAAATATGAATCATCATGAATCATACAAGAATAAATGTTAAAAGGGAGTGATTGTTGTGGGAAACATCGAAATAATCTACCAAAGAAAGATTGATCCGAAGCAGTTCCCACACTAGTTAACAGCTGGATTCAGACTGAGCTGGAATAGTGAGTGTGACGTGAGCCCTAAGATATAATATAAATTTTATTTTGGGCCTTTTGCCACTTTGATTGAGTATTTGGCAATAAACAACCAGGGATTGGGGCTGATCCTGCTGTGTGCATGTGTGTACACTTACATAGTACGGGTCTTGGATAACAAGCTGTTTTTCAGGATCGTAGGAGCCGAGCAGCTCAATCTTGGCTTTGCTGTTTTTCACGCTGCTTGCCTTCTTGTTCAGATCTCTGTAAGAAAACCAGACACACACACACACACACTTTAGATCCTGTGCAGCCAATTGACTGATTCATAATCTGATTCATATCAATGATGTGATTCCCTTATGTTCTTTCAGACTAATTCAGGGATATGTTTTAAGTAGCAATGAATCTTGACAGGATCTGACTGTTCTTTCTGCAACAGTCTCCCAGGAGCAAGACGTTGCAACACACACCAAACAGCTGAAAAAAAATTAATTAATTTATGACAACACACATAACAGCGCCTAGGTAGTGACAACTGGTGTGGCTGATCATGAACAGCAAGGATATTAAAAACAAACAATTAACTACCAAGGATGTACAAAACTACATATCTTCAAATGAGTCGTGGTTTGTCTGAACCAGGAGTGAAAAAGTGTGAAAAAGAAAATATAAATAAATAAATGTTAACACTTTATTTTCAGGACCAATTCTAACTATTAACTTGCATGAATATTACTAGCATATTGGTGTTTTTTTATATTTAAAGAATTTGCCACTGACGATTCAAACGCAAGTTTTGAGCAGTGTAGAGTAGCACTTGTTGTTTGTCATTTCTCCGATCACAAATGCAGACATGGTTTTATGTTCACGCGGCGCAATGCAACGCAACGCGTAAATAGACAGTATAAGTCATTATAATCCATAATTATGTCCCCACTGGATGCAACAAATGACTCGTTTATAATGGGTTTT